TCACCACTACTGAGCCGCCCAGTGTCGTGGCGCGCCGCCCCCGGCAGACAAGACCGGCGCCACCCGCCTGGCGCCACACCCCCGCCACCGCCCGCCCCCTGCCCATCTATACGCTAAATTATCACTAAACTTTGTACAGCTATCTGCAGATTAGAATAAGCTCTACTAACCGTTCAGTGCACGTTCGCTCGTATCACACACATACCAACACAGCTCCTCAGTTAGTTAGACTTCGCCTTCAATTGGGCTGCTAATCATAATGTAATGAGTCATGCCAGTTATAGACAGATTTAGTGTTAGTCAGGCTCCGGCGTCAACTCACTCAACCTACCGTGATTACATGTAATTAACTTAATTACATACATAATTACAATGATAATTACTAAATTAAAAATATGTGGTTATATCCAAATGTTGAGTTAGTACCCAATATATTCAATGGAGTAGGTCTGTATTGAATGGAGTTGATTTTATTTTTTCGTAATTATATGTATAGAAAAGTGTTATGCATATCGTTTACATCCCCCGTTATCTAGATGCTAATGAATTTTTACATTAGGGTATGGTTGTTAACTGAGCAATGAGCAACAGTTACAGTAGCGGGAAATCCTTTGTTGTTTGAATTTCAGAAAGAACTTTTAAAACAAGCTGTTGTGGACCCGTCCTCCGCATAGTGTGGTTAAACAAATAGATTGAACATACTTCTGGGTTGGTTAGTCCATTGACAATACGGTATATAATTCAAAACAGCTGGTATCCTTATATATAATATGTGAAGGCGATTTCTACGAAACACTACTCCTCCGTTATTAATGGACGGATTTTTAAAAACGATGTGTCAAAATTAAGTTTTTTTTTGTGTAGACGCCCCTTTTCACCATTTCCTGTAATAAAAGTCCTCGTCGGGCTTTGCCCCACAGGCCATCAAAATCCCAATGTATTTCTTATGAAGAAAGGATTTTGTTTACTCAAACAAACTAATAATTTGTATTAATTACAGCTGTTCATAGTAAACACATAATACACACAAAAGCGTTCGTGTTCAGAGCGAGTTCGTTTTCGGTTTCGATAACTGGAGTGGAGTGATTGATTTTGAGTCGACTCTTTTTAACTCATCGGAAATTATGACTGTTGTTCGTCTTGAAATAGCGCCTGTAATACTTTGCAATTGATCGAATTCGAGCAACAGGAGCACTAGTAGTATTAAATACTGTGCATACATTCTTGTTCCGGTTGACATTTTCCTAACTAACCAAAATTTTGGTATCCTGATAGACAGAAGCTCGAACATAAATAGAGAAACAACTACCAAGACCCAAACCAATTTTAACCAAGCGATAGTTTACTGAAAAAATATTTCCCTTACACGAGTTTATATTTCCTAGCATAAACCTAAATTATCTTCATGACAAAACTTCATTATATGCAAGTGTTAGGGACATATAGCTCTAAATTACACTTTTCCTGAAAACGCTAAATTCTTTTCTATATAATTAAAAAAAAACTATATTTAGTAACATCTTAAAAATATACAATACCGACGATCAATATTTTTAAACAACTTTTAACGTTGACATTTTAGCGACGGTTTGAAACTAGCTGAACAAAATTGCACTGAAACAAACTTAAGGTTATGGAGTCGGCTACTAAACTTTTTAAAAACTAAACAATTTCTAAAAAACTGACACCTTTAAATAATTAAGTTATGGATTAGTCAATCCCTTCTTTTTCAAAACTATCTTTCTTTAACAGAAAATTCATGTAAACCCATCAAGTAGTTTATTCAGAATATTGAAATAAATAAAACCCCTAAAACGTTTTAATATATAAGGTAATACAAACCAATATATTGTTTTATCTAAATACAATCAAAGATACAATAACATCATTTATTTTAATCTCGTTTAGTTATGAAAGGAAATACGACCTATCGCTGATCATTAGGTTTGCCGTTCATGATACAATACTTAAGAGATATGCATGCAGCTACTTAACGATTCAACGATTGGTTCAGAGACGTGCATGTAATGCCTGGCTAATTCATGTCTCTCTACTTTATGTGACATTTATAGCCAAGGAGAGCCATTCTGTCAAACTTTGTGTAGTCAGTGTCATAAAATGAAGCTGCATATTTCGAACCGTTTGCAAGGGTTATATTACACTCACATATGACAAAACTTTTATCATACAATGAGAGAGTAAAATTTTATCGTTGTCCTCAATTGACTTTGGATTTTTATATTATTACATCAACGTTGGCAGTAATTTGGTGACTTATCCTAACAAATTGCAATATTTAATCGTCTGACTTTAAATTTAGTTAGTTATATCTCAGAGTAATAATAAATAATTATTAATTATATTATGTATTATTTATCTGAAATTATTTAAACTATGTGAACTATTTTGTGCTGTTGCGGTTTTGAATTAAATTAATTTCACAAATAACTTCCAGTATCTATTACATAATTAGTAATGTGAGGAAATAATTTTATTTTTATATAAAATTAATACTTACACAAAGTTTAGAACATTGGATACACTCAGTAGTTACACAAGGGATCATTCACACGTTCAGAGATAAAAGTATCACAAAGACAAGAGACTTGGCTTAGTCTTTCCTTACTTGTCATATTTCATCGCAGTTTCGGGTTTTTGCGTTGCAAGGACTGTACCAAGTGTGTGTAATTCTGTCGATGGTGTCCCATGTTTGCCAGGTGTGTGTCACTCCTCGAGTTGATCCTCTCAGTTTCTTGTATGTCCAGAGATCGTGCCTCAAGCTGCTCTTGGAGGATTCACCTGTTTGCGTCTCCAAGATTGCCAATTGCCCTCTAATCCCGCGTTTTATCTGCCGCGTTTTTGTCTCCGTCCCAAGATTATCCCGGGTGAGCTCCTGCTCACACTGTCTAACCTTTTCTCGCATTTAAGATATCGAATAATTAGTTTAACTTTTTTAGGTTCGTACATTATAGCCCAAGATATATTTTCTCATCGAGAAATGAAATTACGTTTAACCGTTTTCGTCATATACTTCAGCAAAAAATAAACAGCCGTTTTTAATGCATGTGTTGTAGGTCTTAAGTAGCACTTTTACTCTCTAGGGAGTAAACATCATATTTAGTCCCTAGGGAGTAAAAATCAGCTGTTGTAACCAGTTGTAAATTTCAATTGTGGCTATTGTATCGATCGAAATTATTTATTGATTGATTTATTAGGTGAGGTTTTAGCCTATTGTGGTCGATCGCTTGACATAGCGATGGTATAAAATTCAAATGCAACAAACATTATATACGCAATTGTTTTCATTGTAGTTGCGGCGCGTGAAAAACCAGAGTCCTATGAAATCAATTTACTGTACTATCTATTGCACTGTACGAGAACAAACTGTTACCAACTATATATAATTTTAAAACTTAAATTATGTACTACAACTTTTACAGGAAACATTTTGTCGTGCGACCTCATATAAAACATTTACAAGGAAAAGGTTCATAAAATAATCCGTAAAAATTCATTTTTTTTTACGTTTAAGTCATTTTTTGACGATACTATCAAACATGGTAAATACAATTTGTGTAGAAAATCTTGTCGCAAAAATAATTAACAAAAGATTGCATCGTTATCCTTACCCGTCTCAAAGTTATAGCTAATTTTCTAAGAGACTGTAAATTTATCTAATACCCCCGCCGCAGCAAACCTGTAGACTAAACAAATTTCCATTTGTCTGATTGGATTTACACTAAAATGTTTCCTTAAAAATATCACATTTATTCCCTGTTTGAATATAATTAATTTAACGAGTACTTAGGTTTGCTGCAACAGGGAGGGTGAAAACCTCCTTTTTTGTAAAATGTTGATAGATTAGTAAGAAATAGATGCATTTTCCAAATTTGATCAAAATATGTTCATAAACAAGCAAACTACAACAGTTTATTTATTCTCCAGAAAAATAAAAATAGGAAATTTAAATTTAAAATTGTTGTAAATTTTCTCCGTAACCATTAGGCGCATAATAACGCTTCAATATACTAATTTATTTGTTTTTTAAGGTCTACAAAATGTTTTGGAAAGAAATTGCAAAATTTTATGTTTTTGGGTCAAAAATGGGAAACCCCATTTTTACCCCTTAAAAACCCCCATAAACCCTGTTCCCATAGTCCGATCATGCTGGTTAGCGAACTCTTTCGAATAAATGCAGGTTTACACGTTTATACCAAATTTCATCAAAATCGGATCATTTTTGCTCGAGTTATCGTTCTAACGGACATATATATATACATATATATATATATACATATATATATATGAATTTGAACGGATGGTATTTTTGGCCTCTAGGGACCTCAAAACGAAAAAGTAAATCGGTCCCGGGTCCAGGTCTTACCACGAGTACTACGGTAATAGCTTATTCCCTATACAAGGAAATTCGCTCAAAAGGGGGGTGAGAGGAAAACACAAGGGGGGGAGTGGGTACTTTTGGGAAAATACTCATCTTAACATGGTCTAATAGCATAGAAAATCCAGCTTTCCCAGAATTACTTCCGACATAAAACCTGTATTGGCTGGGTTTTGAAGTCGAACTAAAAGTGAAATAACTCATGGTAGAAACCGTTTTTATTGTTCAGTTATCTTTGTAAAATAATATGGTACAGCGCCGTTGTTCAATTTTCTTAAGATTTAGGTATTGCGGGTATTATATAACTTGACTAAATAGCATAAAACTCGTCTACACACTTTTTTCAATTAATCTAGATGATAGCAAAATAAATAATGACAATTAGCAAAAAAACTATAGTAATATATGGGAAATTCACTAAAAGTTTAAAAAATCATAAACAGTAAAATTCACATTTGTACTGTACTTGAATTGGTAAATAATTGAGAGCTAAATATATACCTCAACTATCTTGTATTATAATATTTTCTTCCTATTTAATCATCGCACTCGTTTGTGTGTAGTTTGTACCAGAGTCTAATAAGTTACTCTCTCTTTGTTGCAGGGCCTGTAATGTTGTCTTCCCTCAGTGACACAATGTCACCCCCATGGCAGCATGCTGCGTCATCAGGCAACACACCCTCACTCTTCTTTGTTACTCTTAGTGTCATTTTCTCATTTCATAGTATATTTTTTTAAGTTTAAAAATTTTATTTTTGACTCATGTACAAATTGTTGTTAGATTAATTGATTTATGGTCGGATCAGCTAGTTCATGATCTCAGTTGAGGCAGTGAGAGGACGTGACTGTGGCGGGTGTTGTCACTTCACGGTCTAACTTTTCTTGTGAAAACTGTGCCAAATGACCTTGTAATTTTCGTTGTAACAACAAAATTACTGTTACCTCAGATGTTGTTTATCGAGCTTCAAGAGTTCTAAGTAAACGACTGAACCAAACGTTTATCCGGGCTTTCATTGTTCAACTACAGTCAATATGTAGATATAAGGTTTTGACAATCCCAGAACTGATTGACATTTTATGCACAACTATACTCAATGCACAGAAATATTTTCAAATATTATTAGAGAATGTAGCAGAAAAGAATCGAATATTGTTAAAATGCTGGACATTTTAGAAGTACTGAACTGAAATGCATTACTCATAATTATTGGATGTTAAACATTTTATCTTTTTTGTGTTGTAGATCAAGATGCAACCCACACATTTTTAGCAGGACAATATATTTTTAATATCAATAGTTATCTATAAACTGTACCAAAACTATAGTTGAATATACAGTAAATATATACAAGTATACAGATTTACTGTTGGCCTACTGATCTAGTCTCTTAATTCCCACAGCAGTATGTTATTCTGCATTGTCTAGAGTTGTGGTGCCGTGTGCCATTTTCAAGACAGAACTATTTTAATTGTTCAAATTATACGTAACTGAGAAAGCTCAAGATTTTCAAACATCTTACAGATAAAATCTATTTGTATGTCGGAGAGAAGGTATGTTTTATAACAGAACATAGGTTTAGTTTAAAGGGTGCAGTTGTCGAATGTGTTGTGATGGTCCTGTAAAGTGGAGTTGTACATGTCAACATCAACAGATGAGTGTTATTATAAACTTCAAAGATGAAGGAAATAAGTATTTCCTATATTACTCAACATGTAATTACAAACCAGGCTATGAAGCACGATTAAACGTGTAATTTTAATTTTGAAGGCCATTTTGGAAAGAGCAATGAGTTTTTTTTAGAGGTAGCTATTCGATACCTATTATCTCAGCATAATCTATGTATTGTTTGAAAAACATCAAAGGAGACAAAATTTGAGCGGTAAACTTCACTTTACATGGCAAATAAAATAAGTCAAAGCATAGTTACCTAGAGTCAAGATGTGTTTTGACTGAAAGCTAATGTTCGCCACCATGTGTACATATGTTTGTTAAGTAATTTTTTGTACAAACCACTCTAGGGTTAGGTAGCCTGGTTCAATCCACATTCTGCACAGAGCATTCTCTGTGATACTGTTACTTGTGTTGTTTTAGAATTACAGTACAAGCTTTAGGTCGATGTTCATTATCCTCTGTCGGAGCTTGGTTGTATTTTTTCAGTTTGATGTCGAGCGGTCATGTTTAGGGTGTAGCTATCGTTGTTGAACTTGACGTTAATATCGATGGTCGATGTATAGTGGTAGCTCAGAATCTATGTGTTCGCTGCCTCGTAGCACGGGTTTGTGTGCTAACGTGTAGTTAACAAAAATAAACTGAAACCATAACCCGGAATTGTATCTTTCCATGTTTCAGCGTCATTCAAAAACCTATTCCAGCTTAGTTTTAATAATTTTAAGTGCCTTTTAAATCATGATGGTTGCTATATAAGCGCATATGTGTTACTTGAATGTTTATACCTAAGTTACAAAGGCTTTCACCCTGTCATTATGTTATTAAACAGTGTTTTTTTTTCAAACAACTTTAAAATCCATTTCAGTATTGAACATATTTTATGACCAGTCAGTTGATTTTAACGCTAACTTTTAAGAAATAGTTGTGGATAAAATAAATATGCCTATTTAGGTTCTTTAAACTTTGTTAAGTTTTGAAAATAAATTGATATGGTCAAGTCAAGATTTGCAACTATGACAAATTTTATAGTTTTTTTTTTACGGCTAAGTGAAAAGTGACTTAAAATTGTACTTAAATGCTCATTATTACCTTTCTTGATAACTTTTGTTGAAGAACTCAAGAAATTTAAGAATTATAAATCTGTTTTAGAAAATATGCAAAAAACATTTTTTTAAGGATAACAAGGATAACAGTGTTATAGTCTAAGTGTATATAGATTTCCTGCCAGAAGGTGGATATTTTAGGTTATAACTGTATAGAATATTTGAATTGTAAGAATAAATTGTGTACATTTATGAAACTAGTTCATTTCTTTCATATACTTAACCCCATTCGAAAATGATCATTCCCTTAAAAGTTGGTACCTATGTAGGTTTGCTTGAATTGTTGTACCGTATGTAGTACAGTATTAGGTCTAGTTACATAGGCTGCTGTATGTACACTGTACAGTAAGCGGCCCACACACTACACGTGCATTGCACGCCGTGCAAGCACGTCGTGCCAAAAACTGACGAAACGTGCAAGTGTGTGGTGAACACCGTGCAAGCACGGCGTGCATTGGCATGGCACGGTGGAAATCAAGACGAGTTTGATTTTTGGCGTGCCGTGCCAAAGCACGCCATTCTGACGTGCTAGTGTGTAGGCGGTCACCGTGCCACGTGCTGGTAGTTCAACCACTTTTGACAGGGTTTGACCCTATAATAGTACTTTCTTATTAGTGAATCAACGGCATTTTGTCTTGGCCATTTGCAACACATATTAAATACGCACATAGTGGCGTCCCCATCTTAAATAATTGATCATTGATCATTGGCACGACCATCGAGATTATAACACAATGGATCGCGCGCTGTATGTGATGCGTGAGCCGAGACGCAGTTAGATCTATATATAATATATCATAGAGCATACATCCTCCACCACAGTATTGTGAACCAAGTGCCCTGCCGGCATATATCTGTACGGAAGCGAGGTGCAAGGTCTGGACTAACCTAGGCACTAAGGTGGCTTAGTGCTTCTGCCTTGTGTCTATTTTTAATGATTAATCAATTAATCATGTCCAATGTCCTTAAAACATGTGTGTGTTCTGTTCTGCATTTCATTTGTACGAACGGACGATGTAATTTAGCACGTTGCAGGCTACACTGAAGATCAAGTGTGTGGGCAAAGTGTGCCGTGCAAAGCACGTCGTGCCAATATAAAAAATGGCACGGCGTGCAATGCACGTGTAGTGTGTAGGCCGCTGTACACTTTTGAAAGGAGAAAACCCCTGTCTGAAACTAGATCAACATACATTTTAAGATGAGTGTGTTTAAGAGAAATACAGTACTACTTGGTTTTACCACCTTTCTTAATAGCAACATATTATATTAAATGATATAACTATAATAATAATCTATATATCTAATTCTGTAAGCCCAAAATTTTACAATGAAATTGTGAGCGAACGGGAGGCCGTAGAAAGCTGGGAGAGGTCTCATTTTAAAGGTCTGGGCACGAAATTTTGGGGAAAATTATTCATTTTTCTCAATTATGCACCTAAAGGTTGATACGGAATAAAATAATTCACATTTAAATAACATGGGAATCTAGCTCGTGTCTGCTTTGTTTACTTTGAAACATGTGGTTTAACTTTATTTAAAGCATATGGTAATATGTACTGTAATATGTATACTAACCCTACAGAGAGGTTGATCATACCAATTGACTGTATAAATTCAATTACACCATCTGGAATGCCACCACACAAATTATTTTTAAAAGTTGGTTCAATAGTGATCCTTATAAAGAAATATGAACCTAGGGTCTGGATTAGCTAATGGAGTACGATTGATTGTGTTAGGTATGTCCGAAAAAGTGTAAAGTTAGAAGTAATTACTGGAGTAGGCAAAGGGAACATATTTTTCATGCCAAAAATAAAACGATTATCTACAGATCCTAATATGCCGTTTAGGTTTACAAAGATAAAATTTTCACAAAAATTTGCATTTATTAAAAAAAATCTCCATGTGTTTTATCTAAGTGAATTTGTGCCTATATTCAAAGAAATGTATATACATGTAATTAATAAGCAATAAAGATTATTATTAAAAAAATTCCTTAGTTGTATTATGATTAGAAAGTTTATATTATAAACACACCTCATTAACAGTCCTTTGGAATTTTAATTTTAACAGAGCAGACATGAAGATGCATAATGCAGGTATGTAATAACTATTATAAATATTATAGGAGAATATACAAAAATATTAAACGATAATTAGGGTAACCCGTAATAAGTAGGGTAACCCATGAGACTAATAATTTGAACAAAATAATTACTAGAATATATATAGGGGCTATTGCCCCTACAAGCCACTAGTAATAGTATAATATTATTATTATACTAGTTCATCCATGCTAGCATCTACAACGTCATTATGGACAAATATACACAAAATCTTTCTTCCTGCCACAGAGTTTAATGCTGTTTGCATCTTCTAATCATTTAAAGTTGGTACATTGATGTAATGCAAACCTACTATTAGACTACAATCGATAGAGGTGACTGGCTGATTGTATAGAAACACCTTGTGCTTCCCATTCAGAAAATGAGGTACTGAAAGGAGGTATTGGTGAATTATATGGCCATGCTACTGGCCTAAATAAACTCATCGAGATAATTCTCTGGAACGTCATTGAAAGCGCAAGTAAAAATGTACACATCAATAGTATTCAAATACAGTATTGTGGAGCTATCCTTCTCTAGTACAGTGGGATAGCCTTCAATATCAAGTAGTCAGCCGCGTCTCTGTGTCTGAGTGGGTTCAATACAAATACAGTATTGTGGAGCTATCCTTCTCTAGTACAGTGGGATAGCCTTCAATATCAAGTAGTCAGCCGCGTCTCTGTCTCTGAGTGGGTTCAATACAAACACAGTATTGTGGAGCTATCCTTCTCTAGTACAGTGGGATAGCCTTCAATATCAAGTAGTCAGCCGCGTCTCTGTCTCTGAGTAGGTTCAATACAAATACAGTATTGTGGAGCTATCCTTCTCTAGTACAGTGGGATAGCCTTCAATATCAAGTAGTCAGCCGCGTCTCTGTCTCTGAGTGGGTTCAATACAAATACAGTATTGTGGAGCTATCCTTCTCTAGTACAGTGGGGTAGCCTTCAATATCAAGTAGTCAGCCGCGTCTCTGTGTCTGAGTGGGTTCAATACAAATACAGTATTGTGGAGCTATCCTTCTCTAGTACAGTGGGATAGCCTTCAATATCAAGTAGTCATCCGCGTCTCTGTCTCTGAGTAGGTTCAATACAAACACAGTATTGTGGAGCTATCCTTCTCTAGTACAGTGGGATAGCCTTCAATATCAAGTAGTCAGCCGCGTCTCTGTCTCTGAGTGGGTTCAATACAAATACAGTATTGTGGAGCTATCCTTCTCTAGTACAGTGGGATAGCCTTCAATATCAAGTAGTCAGCCGCGTCTCTGTCTCTGAGTGGGTTCAATACAAATACAGTATTGTGGAGCTATCCTTCTCTAGTACAGTGGGATAGCCTTCAATATCAAGTAGTCAGCCGCGTCTCTGTCTCTGAGTGGGTTCAATACAAATACAGTATTGTGGAGCTATCCTTCTCTAGTACAGTGGGATAGCCTTCAATATCAAGTAGTCAGCCGCGTCTCTGTCTCTGAGTGGGTTCAATACAAATACAGTATTGTGGAGCTATCCTTCTCTAGTACAGTGGGATAGCCTTCAATATCAAGTAGTCAGCCGCGTCTCTGTCTCTGAGTGGGTTCAATACAAATACAGTATTGTGGAGCTATCCTTCTCTAGTACAGTGGGATAGCCTTCAATATCAAGTAGTCAGCCGCGTCTCTGTCTCTGAGTAGGTTCAATACAAACACAGTATTGTGGAGCTATCCTTCTCTAGTACAGTGGGATAGCCTTCAATATCAAGTAGTCATCCGCGTCTCTGTCTCTGAGTAGGTTCAATACAAATACAGTATTGTGGAGCTATCCTTCTCTAGTACAGTGGGATAGCCTTCAATATCAAGTAGTCAGCCGCGTCTCTGTCTCTGAGTAGGTTCAATACAAACACAGTATTGTGGAGCTATCCTTCTCTAGTACAGTGGGATAGCCTTCAATATCAAGTAGTCAGCCGCGTCTCTATCTCTGAGTGGGTTCAATACAAATACAGTATTGTTGAGCTATCCTTCTCTAGTACAGTGGGATAGCCTTCAATATCAAGTAGTCAGCCGCGTCTCTGTCTCTGAGTGGGTTCAATACAAATACAGTATTGTGGAGCTATCCTTCTCTAGTACAGTGGGATAGCCTTCAATATCAAGTAGTCAGCCGCGTCTCTGTCTCTGAGTGGGTTCAATACAAATACAGTATTGTGGAGCTATCCTTCTCTAGTACAGTGGGATAGCCTTCAATATCAAGTAGTCAGCCGCGTCTCTGTCTCTGAGTGGGTTCAATACAAATACAGTATTGTGGAGCTATCCTTCTCTAGTACAGTGGGATAGCCTTCAATATCAAGTAGTCAGCCGCGTCTCTGTCTCTGAGTGGGTTCAATACAAATACAGTATTGTGGAGCTATCCTTCTCTAGTACAGTGGGATAGCCTTCAATATCAAGTAGTCAGCCGCGTCTCTGTCTCTGAGTGGGTTCAATACAAATACAGTATTGTGGAGCTATCCTTCTCTAGTACAGTGGGATAGCCTTCAATATCAAGTAGTCATCCGCGTCCCTGTCTCTGAGTGGGTTCAATACAAATAGTCAATAATTAAAAATACAACCTTATTGAGCTTGTCAATATAAAATCCAATGTATGTTTGTTTGTTTGTCCTTTATGGACTCTGAAACCGCTCGACGGATTGTAATGAAACTTTCAGGCTTTATTAAGAATTATTCAAGGATGGTTTGTGTGAAGTTTGGTGCAGATCCGTCAAAAGGGCTCCCCCAAGTGGCTCTGGAGTTTCCCATGTTAACCTTAAGAGTACTCATATTTAAATGGAATTAAAGAATCTTAACAGCTGGTTCAACTAAACTATTTGATTCTATTTGATATAAAGTTAATAGGTTTACCAACAGGGTGCAGCACTATTTTTTTAGCGAATTTCCCATATAGGGAATAAGCTATTACCGTAGGTCTCATGGTAAGGCCTGGACCCGGGACCGATTTACTTTTCCATTTTGAGGTCCCCAGAGGCCATAAACACCATCCGTTCAAATTCATATATATATGTGTGTGTGTATATTTATATATATATTTATAAATTTATATATTTTTTGTAACCTATACTATTTCCTTCACCACTTC